GACATTTGTACAGACATGTTCTCCTACCCACAGTGGTAAGTCTTATAATGCCCACTCGAAGATAAACCCAACGTTGGGTTCTCCTGCCACATCAGCAGGTGGGCAGTCTTCTCCTGCCCACCGTGGGCAGGAGAATATTCTCGATCTCATATAATGTCATTTAGTGCTGTCTAAATTGGTATTGTAACATAAGTAGTGCTAAATAATACTACTCAAAACCATATAATCACGTCTATTACTTTTTTCTTAAACAATATTCAATAAATCATATAATATTACACATGGTTTGCACCTCAAATGCTTTGGACCCACATTATTGCCCAACTATTTGACAGATGCAGTGGTGGTAGCAGATGCTTGTATATCACTCACATAATTACGTAGTCACCTGTATTTAAAACACATCAAATTACAGAAGCAATACATCAATTGTCAAAATTATTAAACATTTGTTTTGATTTTCGTTTTTTTTTTCAACCACACATTTTTCAATAAAATAATATTATACACACATTCAATTTTTTATTTTTATTTTTTAACCATACATTCTCTATCAATCTACTATTCTAAAATGCATTCTCAGCAATAAAATGGGGGCTAAAAGAGGGTGTAAATTTTAGATTTAAAACTTCATTAAATATGTAAAATATTTTAACATCTTTCAGATTTCCCGTAATTATTTTCATGTACATAGTCCTTTCCTTATAATTATTTGTATCTTATTAATTCAATGGTTCCATTTAAAGTTAAGTTCACATGACACTAATGGCCTGTTTCGTACAAATTAAATCAGATTTTAATCTGAGTCAAAGTTAAACAATCAATATTAATCATATTTTTTATGGGTCCCACAACTTTTCAACTACATTTCCAAAAATTTCTATCACGATCAACTAAAAATCTAATTTTAACCCCGCCAAACACGTTCTAAGTGTTTTTGATTGACTTTATTTTTTATAAAAAATATTATTTTTCCACCCAAATTCTTACTTTTGAGGTATTTGATTGACAATTTTTTCTAGGAAAAATATTTTCTTAACTTTTGGTCATGTAACCATATATTCTTCAAAAATAAGGAAAATATTTTGTTTAGAGATAAATTGTTTTTATTTACCAAGTAATTCAATCACTCACTCTTTCTCTCTCTCTCGTATATTCCCTATCTCTCATCTATCACAAATAAAAAATGAACAAATATAATATTTTTAAGCTTAAAACTAAATCAATCAAACACATTTAATTAATAATTTCTATACAAATAAGTTCTAGACAATTGAATTGTTTAAAATTTATTTTATTTTCATACAAATCTCATATTCACAATCAAAGGCATCATAAGTAACATTAAATAAGAGACACAATTAAATTAGTCAAGTAATTCTATATTTTAATTCAACCTGTTACATAGCATTATTCTTGATTAAAAAGTAGGTGCATGGAATTGATTTTGACCAAATGGAATTAAATTAAACAGATAAGATTGTTGCATGGGGGAGCGGGTGAGTTTGTTGACAATCTCACACATATGGGGTGGGTGGGTAATTTTTTTTTTTTATTCATAGTGGGGCCCATCATTGTGAGTGATTGTCAACCATTTTGATCAACTATGGCTGTACAAATGGCATTGACCTTAATGGCGAGGTCCGTCTTCTGTGTAAAGCCACGTGGCAGTGCAAAACCTTGACAGAGGGGTAACTAGGTCATTTCAAAGATTGACCAAGTGTAGAGGAAATATGAATATTGGACTCAAAAAAAAAATGCCAGAAGAAATCTCACATTTCATATATTGGGCTATTCTCCACACAACTGAAGCATTTTTAAGCAAAGTTAAAACCTGAAATCACGCCTTTTAGCAGAAGTATGATGAATGTGGAGGATTTATCGTAGGAATTATGCTCCTTGTACACTCTTTGTGTACATGAAGTTTGACACTCCTTTACAAATTCAAAAATGAAGTGGCGGGAAAGTGTGTTGTATTTTCAAACTGGCCAATCGTGCTGTAACATGTGGTACAATGTCAAACTTGATGTCAAAGACAATATACTTGTAGCATGATTGTATCGTACGGGGCTCTTAGTAAACGATCTCGCTCTTCTCAAAATCCGTCACCATCTCTTGTCACCCCGGTCTGGTTTTTGTCCTGGTGAATTTTGATTTCTTGAAGTTTTTAATCTGTTTTTTCATGGTTGTTTGGTTGACTTTGGTTTTTTAGTTGATTTTAATATATGTTTAGCTTCTAACTGAGTTTTAGAGTTAGTAATTTACTGTTATTATATTATTTGAAATGTTTCGTAGATTGCCTTCTTTTTGTGTTGTTCAAGAAATAAATACAACATAAAGGAAAGTAGAGATGAATTTTTTTACAAACTGGTTGGTTCTGGCATTGCAGAAGTGGCTCATGCAACTCGAGAGTCTTAGACAAAATCGTTGATGGAGTTTTAAACAAAATTGACTAAATGATCATCACCAACAATTATTTGTAAGTGATGACTGAGGTGCGTCGATGTCGTTGATCATGATGGGAAGCTTCGTAAGAGATGACTGGGGTGCGTTGGTAACCACTTATCACTGCCACTATCACTATCGGTGATTTTATTGGCAACCACTGACTTGAATAAGGAAACTTTTTGTTTCCTCATTTTGGGTAGGCGGTGGGGATGAGGTGTAGGTGCAAACGTATGTTTTAATTTATTACAAATTCACGAGCGTTACACTCAGTGCATGTATTGTATTAAATAAGTTGTGCGGTTCATGTTGTGGTGACAAAGCTACTTTCTTGTGGGTCAAAGTTGATAACAAATGGAAGAGGATAATAAGCATTTTTCTTCTTGGTTAAGTTTTTGAATTGGTCAACAAAACATCTCCACAAATTGAAATCAAATTCGCAACCATGGCCAAAACCACCGCCTTTGTTGTCTATATATACATGCCTATATACTACAACATTTTATCCCATTTTCTTGTCTAAAAACCATAGAGAAAGAGAGAGTATTTATTTTTAGAGAGAAAAAAATTAGTGAGATTTCTCCTAAATATTGTCTTTCCTTTTATTAGAGAGAGTGAGTAATTTCTTCTAGTATAAGAGATAGTATTGTCAATTATGCTCTCCTTATTAAAGAGGGAAATTCTTGTAATTCTTTTGTTATAGTGAAATCCTCTACAATCTGCCCGTGGTTTGTTCACGTAAAATTTTAGTGTTCATTATTTTTCATTTCTACTTCAGTTGTAATTGTGTGCCCCTTATCACAACGTCCTAACACATGTTAGCGGTTAAGTTGAGAGCATCTATCGTGGCAAGAAGTGCGTGCAATAAACTACAATTATGAAGGACGACCTTGGATTAGTTGGCTCGGGTATCTATTTTTATTGAAACTCTTAAGAATTTTCCTTATCTTAAACTTGGCTTTTCAATTTATACAACAGTGGAACTCCGGGAACCATGAATCTCCAATGCCATCGTCAAGAACAATCCGCTGGATAAGCCTAGTCCTTTAGGCTTGCGGCTGAAAGTCACAAAATCTTTTCTAGATTTGATTGAGATGAAGCTCCCACAAGGAAATACCGCTTCTCTCGCTATGGAATCTAGTAAAAATCGTAACTCGCAAAGCAAAAAGGGTGCAAAGAGAACCACCACTTCAAATGAAAATGACAAGTTGAAGGCTTCAAATTTTCCGGCTTCACTATTGAGGATTGGCAATTGGGAGGTACGAACATTTTTTTTTTATCATATTGTGGTTGAAGCAATTGCATTTCAAGAAAATATTTCGTTTAACTAGTCTGGTTATACACTAGTATAAATTCAATTTTACGGAGCAAATCAACTTGATTGAAACAAAGCATTGCGACAATTATTCTTCAAAATTGTACCCCTAAACTAAGAACCTAGAGTTTCAAACAAATGGCACATGCAATGAGCCGATCGCACTTGATTATTCCTAATTGAACCTTTTTTGAAAATATACATCTATAACTGTTCGGCAAAATAATAAATATTAGATTACAAGCCGTGAATCCTATGAAATGTATGGATAATAAGAGAGTAAAAGTAAGTAAAGATATTAATCCTGCAAAATGAGTATTATACCTGTTGTGCGTAGCTGATATAACATCTTCTGGCAGTACGCTTCAAGTTATGAAAACGATCTGGTGATGAAGTGTTACTTTGAAAAACAATGGGAAGTTCTCAGAGGTGGTCTCAAGAGTAAAATAGAAATTCAGTGGTCTAATATTACAGCTCTGAAGGCAACCTGTGCTGATAATGACTCTGGCACGTTAACTATACTGGTAATTTTCTCTTTTTTATTTTGGTTCTATGATACAATATATTGAATTCCAACTACCATCAGTAGGTTGCTTCTTACTTTACTTTATTATTAAAAGAATTACTTTCGATTGTGTATTGTGTAGCTGGCTAAGCCACCTATCTTTTTCAAGGAGACCAATCCACAGCACAGAAAACATACTCTTTGGAAGCGAACTTTTGACTTTACTCATGGAGAAGCTAGCATAAACTCTTTTCATATACATGTTTTCCTTTCAATTGAGTGCTAGTTTGGTATTGCTTTTAAGTGTTTTTAAGTTGTGAGTTCTATGGATGTGTGGATAATGAGCGTGTAGTAAGTTGTGAATTCTGTGAAATCTATGAATTAAAAGTATGTTTGATCAACTTAAACTAAAATTTATGCTTGAACAAACATGCTTCAATTTCTCGTGAAAACCACTGTGTTTGCACTATAGTCCATATAATTACTTGACCGAATAATTTTGAGATCCCAAAAACTATTTTACTTGTTCTTGGGTTACTGAATCCTTGTTGCTATTTGAACAGGAAGCATTTCCTGCAGTGCCCTCCAGGCTTGTTAAACAAGCACTATGAAAATTTGATCTAGTGTGACAAGCGTCTTTATATTTTGAGCCAACAACTTGATATATTTATAGACTTCTACTTTTAAAAATCCAGAAGAATCCAGAGGTTGAATTTGATCAAGTGGCTGCTGCTCATGGATATTCGCTCTCTAGCTTCCAGGATGTAGAATTTGCAGCTGCCTCACAATCACCTCCCTTGAGTTTTGGACAGAAATTTATTGGTGTGACTAGGGTCTAGGGAAGTCAGTTTGGCTCACCGGCACGCAGCCCTGGGGGAAAGCCTGGACAGGCCCATTTGGGATATTGGGCTGAGCTGAGCTCGCCCGTGTGGCCCGTATAAAATTAAAAAGAATTGAAATGGAAAGAGGGAAAGAGGCAGCTATATAGCTGCCCATTTAAAGGCAGCTGTGTTGCATTTGTGTTATATATAAAAGAATAAGAAACAAGCCTTTGCTTGGCTCGGCTCGACTCGACTCAAGCCAAAAAAAGTTCGAACCGATTTTGCTTGAGTTGAGCCAGAGCTTCGAATTTCGGCCTGTGTCTTGGTTAGGCTCATTGCCACCCCTAGGTGTGACTGCTAAAAATGTGTCTATAGAAGCCTCGTCCTCCATCTCAGGTACAATACCGCTTTTCTCTATCATGAATATGACATCTTCAGCGAAGCTGATTTTTTGAGTAACTACTACTAACATAACAAAAATCTAACCAGATATTGTGAGTACCAAGTTATTTATCAGCTTGTCTCCACATAAGATGCATCGTTGAATGTTGATCTCACAAAACTATTCATAATTTTCAACCAAAATTTGACTAATCACATTCTCTAATGTTACCAGTGATGGATACATGTGCATTTGAATGGAATGGAACTTTTAGAGGACATGATTATTCAGAGCAACAAAGGTGGGAACAACTGAAGGTGCCAGGCCTCCAACCATCTACCTCAAAGAGTGATCTCATGTACCACATCAGAAACTGTATTTCAGAACAAATAACTTCTGGATGTGTAAATTCAAACAAGACATCAGAATTTTGGGATGAAATGGAAAACATTAAATATGAGTTACTGAGTGATACTGAATGTGCAACAGGTTTGGATGAACAATCTATATTGAAAAAAGTCGATTCTCTTTGCTCCCTCTTTGCACGATCCTGCCAAAAGTTCCAACACAAAAGTCGATAACAGAAATTACAATGAAGGTGCTAACTGTGAAATATGTGTCAGTTCTAATCTCACAAATGACTCGATGAGCGAAAAGACTAGTAATGATATATCGGCCACTCAAGAAAATTATAGTTCTGGTTTTGGTTGTAGGCCAATGGCACCTTCAATGGTCAATAATAAACTCATTTGGAGAATTTGCGCTTCATCTTCCGTGCATTGCCTCTTTTAGAATTTTAATGAGATGTCCCGAGCAAGATAAATATTCCTTTCAACGAATATTATTGGGATTCTGAAATATGGTTTGACAAGGATCCTCGTAATATTTCTTCAATAATGTATATATATTATGTAATTTTGTAATATATTTTCAATTTAGACTCATTTTTCTACATCTACATGTTTAGTTGTGCTTGTTCGATATTTCTTTTTTTTCTTTTTTCTTTTTTTTTTTGGGGAAGTAAGTTAAAAGATATTTTTGTTGGCATAAAAAAATATCCTTAAAAAATGTTAGATTGATAAACTTTTAAATATTGGTAAGAAGTTGGATTTCAACTTCTATTTTCATTATTTAAGTTAATAGAAATGACATGATTCATGAAATTAGTGACATGACGTAAGAAAACAATTAAACATTACAATTCTTATGGTTGGGAGTTTTGGGTACTTGTTATGACCATTTTTTCAATTATCGAGTTTGAGCTTTTATGATGGATCAATTATAAGTGATTTTTAGTAGCGATTTTTTAAAATATCGAACCTATACTTAGAAGTTTATTATCGATCGATTGTAAAAAAAATTTAAAAGTAAATTTACATGCATGCTTCTTAGTGAAATTTTCAATTTTCTATTCATTGTATAATTTTTTTACTCATAAGTGATATTTCGCTTATCAGTAATTTTTTTACATAGAATTTATTTAACATAAATATTTAATATGTACATATAATTAAAATTTTAAGTTAGTTTTTCAACATATAAGTAAATTTTACAATGATAAGTTATTTTTGTACTTTTAAATAATTGTTATACATAAGTAAATTTTTTACTTATAAGTAACTTTTTTTTATATATTTTATAATTGAATTTTTATCTTCTTATTAGTATTTTTACTTTATAAACAAATCTTTCCATAAAAGTGAATTTTCTCTTATAAGTAATTTTTTTAATTATAAGTAAAAAAATTAATTATAAAGTACTTTTTTTTTTTTGCATATAAATAATTTTTTAGTCTATTTATTTTTATTTACAAGTTAGTTTGAACAAATGTTGATTGAAAGTAATTATTTTTTAAATGTAAAATTAGAAGAGAATTCAAGAGATTTCCAAAACTCACCATTTTGGTGGGTTGAGAAAAACGGTCTAATAGGAAGGCAAGCTATTTGCTTAACGTAAGTCGAATGAAAATTATACTACATTAGTTTTGGGCGATTTTAAACCGCTAAAATCACCAAGTGTCCCGAAAACTAGAGACGTGGATTGTATGAGCAAAAATTTTAAAGTTTTTTTCTTGGTCACATTGTTTTTGTTATTAAGGCCCTGTTTGAGCCAAATTATTGTAGAATGAGAATGAAAAATATAGTCGTTATTGAGGCTCACATAAGAGATAGAAAATTTGAATTTAAATGTTGATGTGATGGATAAATGTCATATTTTTCATTTTAATGAGATAATAATGTAAATCAAACGAGGGCTAAACACCTATTTGATTTAGTTAAAAATATTGATCAAATTATAAGTCAAATTTTAACAATTAATTTGAATTACATATTTCATAAAATCACAATTTTTATTAATTTTACAATTATACATTTTATCATTTTCTTTTATCAAAAATTACAAAAAATATGATTTTAAGTGCTTGTTTGACAACCATTAATTTATTTGATGGTTTGTTATAAGATCATTTTCAACCGCATATTCACACAATAAAATATTCTATATGTATATAAAAAAAATTTCTTACTTTTTAATCACACATCCTCCAAAAAAATATTATTCAAAACTTTATATATATATATATATACACACACACATATAATAATTGTCAAACATGCTCTAACTAAACTAAACATGAACTAAATATAAACAAACCATTGCCCCCCGGGGCACATCCGAGTTGGCAAAGGACGGGTATTGCTGGGCTTGCAAACTCAGTGTGGGGAGCTCGATTCCTGGATGGAGCAGTTGAGTGATGTAATGCTCACTTGTGGGTGGAACATGTTGGTGATGTAATATCCATGAAGGAAGGCTCCTTTGAGGTTAGGAGTATAAAGGGTGTACGGACCTTGGTCAATTTGGACATATACTGTGATTAACCTCCACCCATCAGTGAGGGGGTCGGGAATGAGTGGTTCAGAACATATTCTAATGTAAGTTGGGATATTTGGATATCAAAAAAATAAAAAAATAAATAAACAAACCATTCGTGTTGTGTGACTTTTGTCACATCACTCAATAACCATTCCCTGTTCTGTCAGCCCAAATCATGCTACCTCTATTGGGGGTGCGCCTGGGCCCGCAAGCACCAACAACACGCGACCTCTATTTGTCCAGACACCATTATGAAAAATTACATTTTCCTAATTAATTTGACAACTAGTTTAACATGAATTGACAAGAATCTTTGCATCATCGTCAAATTAGTTGTACAATTGATTCCATCTTCCTTTTCCCCGTTTCACGAGGGAGACTACGCTTTCCTCGTCAATATCCTATCTAAAGAACCCTAAAAGGATGCCGACTTTGAATCGGGTTTTGAAGCTTTTCCTTTTCGTTTTCATCGCCAAGCTCCATTCAATCAGCTGCAGCGCAATTTTTTCTTCAGACCCGTATGCCCAGCAGCAGCTGGATAGAATCTCAAAGCTTCCAGGGCAGAATTTCAACGTGAGCTTTGCACATTATGCTGGCTATGTTACAGTCAACAAGGAATCTGGGAGAGCACTATTTTATTGGTTCTTTGAGGCCGATGAGGACCCGTCTTCCAAGCCTGTTGTTCTTTGGCTCAATGGAGGTCAATTTATTCTGAGCTCTTTTTTTGTGTGTGTGTGTAATCTTGTTTAAAACTTTGGAGTTTAGCTTGTTAATGTTAGCGTATTAGCCTTCAGACAAATGCATTTTTTTTGTGTTTCTTTTGTTGAATTTATATTAGAGTATTTGAATTTGCTATGATATTGGGAGATATGTACAAAGAATCACGTGATTCTGTATATGAAATTGTGATATATCTAAGCAAAAAGAGCATCCTTTGTGGCCTCTGGGCCAATATGATTATTTGCAATGTCCAAAAAGTTTTTAGCATTAGCAATGAATTTATTTCAAGACATATGGTGATAATTCTTCCCTCTCTTGATTATAAACTTCAGCAAGTTATATACACATTTTTTATTATGTTCAACTTGTATGTCGTTGATTCCCCAGGAAACATGTCATTAAGTATAAGAAAACATGGTGATTATTAAAAATTCTATCTTGGATTTGCTGTTTCTTTTCACTTTTTAGTTTAGTTTTTGAATTTGATGCTGTAAAGTTCAATTCATTTATGTCTTAACGTGGTAATTTATCTTGGTGTGATGTAATTTATAGCCAGGGTCGAAACTTGTTTCTGACCCATTATATGTTCAGGCCCTGGATGTTCATCTATTGCATATGGATTAGCTGAGGAAATCGGACCTTTCCATATTGAGAAAGATGGGAAGACCCTTTATTTGAACCCTTATTCTTGGAATAAAGGTATATTTTGTGTGCTGTCCTTTAGAAAAGAAATGAATTGAATTTGTATCTAACTTGCCTTACGACTGAAATTCAAAAGTTTGAATTCTATGAAAAGAACTAAAGTTTAAAAGACCAGTTCATCAGCTTCAATTCTTGTGTTGAAAATAGATAGGTTCCTTTGTTATTGAAAGCACACCTTCTAGTAGGTAACATTTAGGCTGTATAGCTGTCGTCTATTTCACATCTTTTGGTGGATTGTACAACTATCAATGCCATTACTTCAAAATATATACAAATCAAAGGTTGTGTTTACCTGCAAACACAGAAATCAGCTCTTGTGTGAATGTTTAATACATATCTTACAGGATCATATGCTTATTATTTTCAACTAGCTCATATTAGCAACATTTGAGATAAAAATATATGTTTACAAAATATATTTACCCCTTAATATGAACACTTCGTGGGTTTTTACATTCTTGTCTCCTTGTTTTCTAGCTTTCTTCTTTTCCTTTTACTTTTTAGCAATACTCTGCGCGTGATCTTCGTAACTTCCCCTGCTCCTGGAAATGATGGATTAGGTTATTGCTAGAATTTTCTATTAGGAGGAGTCTGCTAGAAGTCAATCTAAAATACTTAAACTCAAAGTGGTACTTCTGTAAAATTTCATATAGGAATTGCCTAATTGTTTTCTCATATTGCAGCTGCAAATATATTGTTTCTTGACTCTCCAGTTGGAGTTGGTTTTTCATATTCAAATGTCACCAATGATCAACTGAACAATGGTGATAAAAGGACGGGTACTAGCGTCTTTTCTATAGGCCTTCTTGATATTTCTTTTATTTTCATTTTGTTTTGGTATGCACAGAAAATTGATTTCGATCTCTTGGAATGCAGCTGCCGACAATCTAGAATTTTTATTGCAGTGGTTTAAACGTTTTCCACAGTATAAAGGAAAGGACTTCTACATCACAGGAGAAAGTTATGCAGGTGGGTGATGGTGAATTTTCTTTAATTCTTGAATAACCGAGAAAGAACTACCTTTACGCAATTTAGAACTATTGGGGTTTACTTATTGAAACTAGTTGCTGAGAAGAGCCAAAAATTAAAAACTGAAACTATTACCTAACTTTGGTGGTCTTGTTATCATATATCTGTTTTAAATTGTTGTGTACGCAATCTACAGGGCACTATGTACCACAATTAAGCCAAGCCATCATGAGGCACAACCACAAAAATGGAGAAGTCCTCATCAATCTGAAGGGTTTCATGGTATGTGCTTTCTTTGCTTGATATTTTAGATCAGGAGATCATACGCTTATTTGGACAAAATCAAATAGGTAGCTTAACCTTGTAATGCAGGTAGGAAATGCGCTAACAGATGATTTTCACGATCACTTGGGACTCTTCCAATTTATGTGGTCAGTTGGTATGATTTCTGATGAGACCTTCAAGCAGTTGAATGTTTTCTGTGACTACCAGTCATTTATACATGCCTCAGGGCAGTGCGATAAAGTTCTTGATATTGCTGATGAAGAAATTGGAGACATTGATATGTATAGTATCTTCACTCCCCCATGCACTGCCAATTTTAATAGATTTAGTCGCCTATTAAAAAGAAAGAAAGTAAGTATTTAAATTTTTTACGATCTCCTTTAATTCCTGTACGATTTTATTCTGTTGACCAGATTTAAGTTCTTCAAATTTTTATGTGAAAAAGGAGTATTAGTAGATCACTGTATTTGTCAGTGGGTAAAACAGGTGTAATAAACCCTGCTTCTACCTCTTGATTGTTTGTGCCCTATTTAAATTGAGGTTAGGAGGATTTTCCGGCAATATGGGAAGTTTATTATTTTTTCTACAAGGGTTGTTGCGCGTCAATTTTATAACTTTTGACCGTAAATGTTTCTACCAGACCATTAGATTGGGTAACGAAGTGAGAATTAAAACTCAGAACAAAGTAGGAATCTTCATTTGGAGTAGTCTTTCGCAGTAATCTTTCCTACATATTCTCATTGGATAACTAATGGTATGAAATTTCCTCTGATAGAAGGTTGGTCTTATCAGAAGTGCGTATGATCCTTGCACAGAGCAGCACTCAACTGTCTACTTCAATCTTCCCGAGGTTCAAGATGTTCTTCATGTTCATAGCAAAAATTCCCCATCCAAATGGGAAACCTGCAGGTATAATATTTATGTTTGGATGGCGTGATCATCCTACAAATATAGTTGTTTTATTTTATGATCTCATTTTTGCTTGCAAAGTAATATATTTGAATGAGATCTTAAATATAAACAAAATTAAACTTATTCAATATAAAAATGCTGGTTACCACTGCAAGTGCCATCGACAACTGTAAGTTAATCAGTTTCAAGTTTATTTCCTTAACACATTCTTAACTTTTCGATATACTGAATGATGTCTAATAAGCTTTTTGGATGATAAATACTAATCTATAATATTTGAGGGGAAAATCTGCTGTATGTGGACATGAGCAATTACCTTAACATTTGTTAATGAGAATGCATTTAAGTAGGACCAGTATTATTTCTGAGGCAAGATTCTCAACTCCAGAATATTTTAATGCTGTGAATTTTGTCTTTCTTCAATTGTGATTAGACAAACTCATTATTGAGATATCTTGCCACTCAAATACACGGAAAGATGCTAAGGATACTGTTACTTCAATCTCGTCCTATATAAATGCTGAAGATACTATAGTCTGCTAGTCTGCACGCTTAACAGCTTGCAACGACTATCAACTGAAATTCTGACTCGTCCTCTTGATTTTCTTTATTTCTTATCTTTTTCTTTCCAATGCTTTATATTGTTGAGATTATTTTTTTTAACTGCATTACAATCTATTGATGTAATTGGGAGGGTTAAACATGCTATACAGTGTCCGTAATTTTGGCTTTTAACCTTCTAATTAATAAGCAAGCATTATTCACTTTTGAAAATTAAAGACACAAACTAGATATCTTTGGCCGCAGTTCTGTACTTGAACATAACCTAGAAGTCAATGTGAACATATAGTATTGTTGATTCAGAGATAATTATAAGTGTTCATCATACAACTTTTGGCGATTTTCTAGGCATGCGATATTCAGCACATGGTTACTGCATTTTCTTGATTGATATATTGTATAGAGAGCTCAAGATTCACAGTCACATGTTTGCAGTGACGAGGTGAATGACAATTGGAAGGATGCTCCTATATCAGTGCTGGACATCTACCGTGAGCTTATACCTTCAGGACTTCGTATTTGGATCTTCAGGTTTCCATCTGTTCCCCATCTCAATCTTTTCTTTGTTTGTTAGTTCGTACCAAGGGTACTAAAGTTTATGGTTACATGTTAAGAGGATTTCTGCTTTTCTTCTCTCTCATGCCTAGAGGTTCTTACTTCTCACAAGTGTCCCTCTTTCTCAATTCACTTGTTGCCTGCATTTATCTTCAAACCATGCATTGAAACCTCACGATTAAAAAGTTATGATCGAAATTGTTAACGAATCACTCCTTTTCTGTTTAATATGACATAGAGAAGTTAAGTTTTTGTGGCAATTTTTTACAGTGGGGATACTGATGCTGTAATTCCAGTTACATCCACTCGGTATAGTATAGATGCTCTAAATCTTCCAACGATTAGTCCTTGGCGTGCTTGGTATGACGATGGCCAGGTTATTTTCTGCTCCCTTCATCAATGTTATTCTATTGAACGTAATTGCTTTATCAAATATGATAGAAATTGTAATGCGTGAAACAGGTAGGGGGATGGACACAGGAGTACAATGGGCTAACTTTTGTGACAGTTAGAGGGGCAGGCCATGAAGTTTCCTTGCATAAACCAAAGCAAGCCTTGACACTTATCGAGTCTTACTTATCAGGAAACTCTATGCCAAAACTGAAACAAATCAGTGATTTATAATTTATCCCTTGGGCGGACTATTGTAAGAATTAAATGAAGTTATTGCTTCGTGGCGATGTAACCTTAATGCTGGGAAACAAGTAACTGCACAATGAGCCTGACATTTGTACTTTGGAATTTGCTGTGAAGAGTTTCGTTCTCACTTTGACATATCTTGTCACAACAGGTATTTTACTTGTAAAATGAAGAGGGAAAGCAAAATCTTTTAAATGACAAGGCTGATTAAAGTTTTAAAATGGATTGAAAAGTTTACTACCCAACAACTAATTTTTATTTTAATTCAATTTTTCAAAATTTAATAGAAGCATTTACACTGGTCCTAGTGAGTAGAAACTTACTTTTTAGAGAAGTGTTAAACTTCTATGTTGACCGCAATCGATCATAGCATTGTCGGTGACGGTCAACAAAATCATCGTCATTGTCATCGATAGACAGCAGTGTGTCGGTGATATTGATCATACAAATGTTAGAACATTTTTTGATGACACCAACTACTTTTCTATTGAAGATGACATTGCCATTGGTGATAGTGGATGGAGTGCGTAGATAATAATAGCCAATAATACCAGTCGGTAATTCTGTCCAAAATTATCAAGAAATGTTTAAATCGGTTTTTCTAGACAGTTGCCTGCGTTGCAGGCAGCTACTTCGTTGCAGGCACCTACTTCTAATTTTTTCCTACAGCTCCTTGTGCGGACAATTGTTTTCATTTTTTATTTTAATTATTTACAGGCTCGGCTCGTTCCGATCGACAATGGCCCGTGACATGGGGCCTACCCGTGTGGCTCGTCGAACCACACGTTTGCCCCAAAATGGGGCTTGGTGGTTCCGAGCCACGGCTCGGCTCGGACTTTCCCGGGCCGAGCCACGGGTGGTCTGAGCCGGCGAACCATTTTGCCATCCTTAGATGCACTAGAAAGAATCATGTATGGGGCGAGCGAACATGGAAGATGAGGTTTTGCCAATGCTTTTGTATAGTTATGATCGACAGAGGGATACAAAACTGAAAAAATGTTTTTTTTTTTTGTATTGCTTCGCATATCCTAAAGAGTATCTCTACTGACAAATTGATTGAAAATTTCATTTCGGAGGAGCTAATGGAGAGAAGATTTATCTTGAGAGCTGAAATTGACCAAGGTCATGCAATACTAAATCAATCGGAGAGAGCCTTCTCACTAGAAAGTGCTTCAACAGATACACGGGAAGATGCTATGATTTGATCAGAGGCATGGCAATAGGGAGCAATAAACATACCCTAGACTAGATACATGGTGTAGTGTTATATTCACCTAATAGATAATAACAAACACCAAGTGAATAATCTATCAAGTAAATAATATAATTCATCTAAGTAAATTGAAAAAAAATACTCCCCTTTCAATACCCCAATGATTTGGCACCAAGATGGATGGATCGAGGCTCAGATCAAGTGCCGAAAATCACACACAGCACCACACAAATTGGACCAAAGTGATAAGCTCAAATGGACCACAAGAATACCCAAGACCGGGTAAGAAAGCTACGCACAAAAGGCAGCAGAAAAGGGACCGAAACAGAGGCTAAAATCACAACACAACAAAGGCTTTGCCAATGTCCAAGTTGTCGGACCAACCGGCAGAAGGAGCAGCAGAAGAAAACCAACAGACGGGCGAAAGGATAGAGACCAGACAGGTCACGAAGAGAAGCAACCAAAGAGGAAATCAAGAGGCGCGACCAATGTCGAGAGGAAGCAGCAGGGAGAGACCCCATTTAAATACACCACATAATAGGTTGAGTAATAGGTCGAGGGGTAATAGGTTGAGCCCGTAGAGTGGTTTTGGTCCTTCTTTGTAACTTGGGCTATCAGGTGGGATTTTCGACTCAACACATAAAGTGTTTCATTAATTGACTTACGAAAAGTCTAATAAATAATTCCGAATATGCATCATCTCCCCAATAGAAGAAGTTGAGGCATCGAAACAGTTGGAAGAATTTTAAGGCAGATTAAATAGCCTATGTGATATTGATCGATTAATCACGTCTCAACAAAGAAATAGATAACTCATTTTCTACAATATTATTTTAAGCTTTGAAGAAAGCTATGCATTTGGTGTTTGTATTCAACTATTCATCTACTACACTAAAACCTGTAATGTTTGAAGATCACAGTCTTACGGAATCCTCTTCATGCAAAGACGAGAACTCGCTGCCACGAGATATTGACAATTTATTCTTTAGGAAAAGTGGCTTAGGTAGTTGCGAGATTTAGCATCTGTTTGGTTTATGTTGGATTTTGTGATCCAAATTCGGTCCAAATTGGGTCTAGGGCTTCACATTGTGGAGTATTGGGTTTGAAGATGACAAAATATGGTCCAAGAAGGAAAAAAAAAGGCAAATTGATGGTGCTGGATGGACGCCCGCTTATAGCTCGAGTGATAGGATTAAAATTGGAACAGAGAGTTTGTCGCCTGCTTGTCGCCGAGCTGTCGCCCGCTTCTCGCTCGAGCGACGGGCCGCTGATTTTTTCCTTTTTTTTCGATTTTACGTGATTTTTAACCTAATTTTCATATTTTAGGTTAATTTTAGGGTTTGGACATGTTTCCTATAAATAGTAGACTCTTCATTCAGTTTAGACATAAAAAAAAAAAGTAGAAATTGTATTTTCTCTCCATTAATTGTTATTAATAAGATATTCGATTCTCTGTCAATTTCATCTTCTTGTTTATTTTCCTTTAAATCTTGTTCTTGTTTATTAGTTTGTGCGATCTATATTTCATATCGCGTCATATCGTCTCCACGAATTCCTAACAATTTAGTAAAAAATCAGATTTTTTTGTATATTTTGATTAAAAAAAATGATGCTATATGTGATTGAAAAATCGTTAAAATTGTGGATCATATCTCCCCATCTCTTAAATCAATCAAGACAGAGAGAAGACGAATAATGGTGGGAATCATTGTAGTGGAACCATCAGAACGCCAACAGCGTCCTTGAACGATTGGTGGATTACTTTGATAAGTGAAAATTCTTTGATCAAACTCTATACCTTCACAGTTATGTCTCTATTTTCAATAATCAAAACAGCGTGGAATCATTCTGGCCTATAAAAGAAATTCTTCAAATATGGGACAAAAGGATGTTCGACAACAAATCCGACAAGAATATTCTTAAACAAACGTAAATTCTTTCTCATTCCAACAGTATCAGCACAAATATATACCTTCAAGAAAATGATTAAATTATATATTATAATTATATATTAATCTCCTTATCCCCCACTCTTGGACTACCATAGTTCTTGAAAAATGTCAACTTTGAATCGGGCTTTGATCAATATTTTCCTCTTTATTTTCATCGTCAAGATCAATTTATTTGGCTGCGGAGCAAGCTTTTCTTTCGACTCATATGACCAGCAACAGCTTGATAGAGTTTCAACGTTGCCGGGGCAGAATTTTAACGTGAGCTTTGCACATTATGCTGGCTATGTTACCGTCAACGAGGAATCTGGACGAGCGCTGTTTTATTGGTTACTCGAGGCGGATGAGGACCCTTCTTCGAAGCCTCTTGTTCTTTGGCTCAATGGAGGTCAGTCGTTTTTTTTTAATGTGATTAATCCAATCCAAAATAAAAGTAAAAAGAACATTTTTTCCAGTTTCCGACCGTTGGGCCAACCGTCAATATTTCCTTTTGCAAGGGAATGTTTTCTTTTTTTCAGAAAACCCTTTTTAATGGGCAAACAACCTTTTATCATTAGCCAAGGAAATTAAAATTCAAGAAATATGGTGAGATTTCTTGCGTTTCTTGAACATAAAATTCTGTTGAGTGTATACTCCATTTTTTTAAAATACTCTTGCATCACGTTAAACCTGTATTCACTAAATAAATAAATGTGTTGGATTTTCTTTTCCTTTTCAAATTTTAAGTTTAGGATTTAGGGTTCATTTATACTGTGTTCAGGGCCTGGATGTTCAGCTATTGGATATGGATTAGCTGAGGAAATTGGACCTTTCCATGTCCAGAAAGATGGGAAGACACTTTATTTGAACCCTTACTCTTGGAATAAAGGTATTAGGTATCTACTATGTGCCGTCCTTTAAAAATCAAATGAATTGATTTGCATTTAACTTATTAATTCCAATTTTATTGAGATGTTATTTGTCAGTTTTTAAATTCAATTTTGATAAGGGAATTGCCTAATTATTTTCCCATTTTGTAGTTGCAAATATATTGTTTGTTGACACTCCTGTTGGAGTTGGTTTTTCATATTCTAACACTACCAATGATCTACTGAACAATGGTGATAAAAGCACTGGTATTAGTTTCTTTCTATAAGGCCCTTCTTAGTTTTCTTTTTTTAATGTTATTTTTGATGTGTATAGAAGTTTGATTCAATCTCATGCAATGCAGCTGCCGACAACCTAGAATTTTTTGTGCAGTGGTTTAAGCGCTTTCCGAATTATAAAGGGAGGGACTTTTATATCACTGGAGAAAGTTATGCAGGTGGGTTATTGCGAATTTTCTATAAACATTGAATAGCTATGGAATGTTTACCTTTATTCAGAGCCTGTTTGGTACCGATTAAAATTGAAAATATAGTCGTTATTGGGCCCTACTCGTCTGATAAAAGTCAACAATAACGGCTAATTTTTCAATTTTAATCCGATTTTAATCTCTACCCAAATTTTTGGGTCCTGGTTCAGGTTTATTTATTGAAACTAGTCTCGGGGAAAGATTTAAGTAACTGAAACTATAGTATTAACTTTAGTTTTTTTTTTATTATCTTTTATTTGTCAAATGATTTTGTATTAACATCATAGTAAACTAGTAGTAGATGCTTGGTAGTAGTTGAAGAAAAAGGAGGATCCATTTAGCCAATTAGATAAGTACGGGATAAGCTTTGTTGATATGAGTTGAATAGGGTAAAAAGTTGAAGTGGATCAAGGGTGAGGGGTGGACGCTCACTTCCATTTCACACCCTCAAGAGTACAGAGTTGAATACAAAAATTGCTGTATTTGGAAA